AAAGTGCTCTCTTGCGCGTGCGCTTGGCCAGGCTTTCTCAGAATTTCACCGTATGTCCTTTCCTACGATGTTTCGAGTAGCCATATACCACGTGACCTATCGGAAGACCAACTTTTCTTCTCTCCGACCATTCCTCGTATCCTACTATAATGGATTGGTGCAGTCCCCGGATAAGGGAATCGTCTTCGTGCTTTTTTTTGCCTTCGCTGAAGCGAACCTCTTACAACCTTTGTAGGCATCTACGTATTCTAATGCTTGTGTCTTCCGCCAGCGCCTGTAAGCGGTCTACTTGTGCCTAAAAACTCGCTCAACCTCGAATCAAAACCATGTTGCCCTGTCACCTCTGGGTCCACCTCGAGTCCCTCCAGTGTTTTCCTTGCACACCGTGGATGTAATCATAGCGTTGGTGCAGATCTGCTTAATGGGTCCGGTATTTGGAGTTCCAGCTTCGAGCATCCACCGTTCGGTTTTTTTCAACGGCTCAGTACGGCCTTCAGCTGATCCTCCGCATCGTTGTAGCTTTTCGTTTCTTAGGAAGCTCAATCGTTATATCTGCTAAGAGAGGTTTATGCTGTGGAGACAGATCTTCGCTAGACAATACTTTCATATCCTTTACAGGTTCATATTCACAGATTTATAAAGCGATCTTCTTGCGAGTAGTATTCGGTCCATTACCTGTCTTTCACTTCTCTGTTGTAGGTATCTTCTCAATTCCCCTCTTCTAAAAAAACGTGCAGCACATTATCAGGTCCATGCACTAGAGCCTCTCCTCCATTTTTTACCCCCATCAAGATTTTGTTCACACTCTGGCTAAGTAATCTGATCACATCATCAATGCTCAAATAGAACTCATCCTTTTCGTCTCCGCCGCGGCCGGCTTGCCGTTCGCATAGAGAGATTACCAAACAGAATGTCGTTTGGCGCGGCGGACCAGAGTACGCCTGTTCTGATGGGGCCAGAATACGCCGGTTCTGGTGGGAACAGAACACGCCGGTTCTGGTGGGACCAGAATACGCCGGTTTCGGGTGTATTAGAATACGCCGGTTCCGGTGGTGCCAGAATACGCCGGTTCTGGTGGTACCAGAATACGCCGGTTCTGGTGGTACCAGAATACGCCGGTTTTGGTGGTACCAGAATACGCCGGTCCTGGTGGTACCAGAGTACGCTGGTTGTGGCGTACCGGAATACGCTGGTTCTGGTGAACCAGAACACACATATTTCGCTGTTATAGTATGCTCACTACCCACTGTGCGTTTAGACTACGCAGCTCGTTTATGCTCCGCTTATATTTTTTACTGCGCGTTTATACTCATTGAACTTGCTGCTGCACGGGTACGCCTTCTTTACACTCTTCGCGGGGCGTTCATTCTCGGCTCGTAATCTACATACTATCTATTCTATTCCGTCCTTTATGCCTAAGCCTAAGCATTAATACTCTCTTATACTTTCATCAGCGTGTTTCTGTTTCCTCTGCACGTTTATACTCGTTTATACATCTCTCTGCGCATTTGTACTGTCTATACATCAGTCCGCGCGTCTATACTCGGTTATACTTCACTCTACGCGTTTGTACTCATTCTTACTTCACTCTGCGCGTTTATACTCGTTTATACTTCACTCTGCGCGTTTATACTCGTTTATACTTTCCTCAGTGCATTAATTATTGTTTGTACTTCTTTCGGAGTGTATGTACATACTCCCATCAGCGCGTTTCTACTCGTTTATACTTCCCATTGTGCGTTTATATTACGTTTGAAATTTCCATTGCGCTTTCATACTTCATTTATATACCCTCAGCGTTCATACTCGTTTGTTCTTTGCACAGCTATGTTTATGCTTCGCTCTGCACGTTTATATCTCCCACCTCTATACTTCCTCTGTGTCAGTGAGAACGCTTTTTAAAGCTAGACGGGGTTGTGAAGTGCTTCAGTACTTCCGTCCACAATGACTGCGTTGTCCTTCAGCTTATCTCATGCTGTTTATACTCTTACCAATCATTGATTGGACGGGAACATGCAATTGTAAGCCAACTCGGATTGTTGAAGCTCCAATCCAGCTGCTTGCCTGATGACCGGCAGAACCTTGCCCTGCGACGACCCTGATATCCGATTGCAGGCGGGCACTTCAGCTCACACTAAACATCTGCATCTTATTCTGCGCTGTTTATGTTTGTAACAATCACTCAATGATAGGCAACAGGCAAATGCGGACTGTAATTAGTGGAAAGAAATGAGGATGCATCGGGTATTGAACGAATAATCACTGTACAGCGCGGTGCTCGATGGCGTCCGCATAGTAAAGAAAAGTCTGGTTTCATGCAATCTATACTGTAAGCTTTGACCGAACTGTTACCTAGGCAAATGTAAACGTCGATGCATCGAGAGCCTGTGAATAAGATGTTCGGGCTCGTACTTTCTACCAATCTTCAACTTTCCGAAGCCTCAAGGGCTCATCTGACATAAACATTTCAAAAGTGAAGCGTAATGACTTGCTAAGGAGATTGCAAGTGGGAATCACGAAATGGTCAAGTTAAATGGCTGGTGTGGGTAATTCGGTGCGTTCCGAAATCTATACCTTACTTAAAGTCTGTTGAACTATTTTGCAGGTATGGCCCAGCTTGAATGCTCTCTTACGCGTACACTAAGCACAAAAATTCGTGATGTAACGGTGCGAATCCGGAACCGTCACTTCACAAAAACCGGTCTCTTATCCGCTATACCATGAGATCCCATTGGTCAGACTAACTGTCTATTTCTACAAATCCAGATGGCGATAGTAAGACGCTGGTAATCGACCATCTTTCGCCTGATATGGCTTATTGCAATGAAAGTGCTAGCAGTATAAGTTTTGCCGAAAAAATCTGACAAGTCCAAACAAAACTCCGACGGGACGGCGCTATACGAAAAAGTGGTCACGGTCTGAAGTAAGTTTTCTCTAACTTTACTCAAGTGAGGTTTTGGTGGAAAAGCTGAATTTTACAGAAAAGCCGTCGGTGACAAGTTGTCATCGCCGAGGAAATGAGTCACGAGCTCCATTCGGTCGATTCCGTCGTCTCACTGCCGTTATCACACGATCCGGTACCGAATTTCGCTGCCTACTGCGCCACCTGTTCATCTCCTTCACGCATGCATACCCTTCATATATGAGTCTCGCAATGACTGAATACTGGTAACGGTACAAGAAAACCTGTGCATCTCTTTCTCTCTAAAATAAAAATATTTCTGTAATCCTAGTGTTGTGTATTGTGTGTACTGTAGGCCTGATGAAATTTGTTCAGAATTACTGTACTCGTCTCTGACACTTTTCGTCTCTTCTTATCGTACACTATCTCGCTCGCAGCTAGCAGCGCAGCGATGAAGTTTGGCAGCGGGCGACTGCTGCAAATTGGTAGAGTTTGGCAATCATTGAAGTGCTCATTCAAAGGAACAATCATCTCCTCGTTCTTACCACAGATTTGAAGTTGTGAATCCTAAAAAATTTTGAGGACAAAGTCCAGAGATATTTCACCTACGCTGTTTTTGTTGAAAAAAATTCGTTTGAGTGAAGATAGTAGCATCAGGAGAGACTTGCTTCAGTTTCCGACGATGCGATTGATGGAGTTCTCGTCACCTGGGTGTATCCTCGTTGAAAATCCGAATATTTGCTCCAGATACATTCCTANAGTTTGGCAATCATTGAAGTGCTCATTCAAAGGAACAATCATCTCTTCGTTCTTACCACAGATTTGAAGTTGCGAATCCTATAAAATTTTGAGGACAAAGTCTAGAGATATTTCACCTACGCTGTTTTGGTTGAAAAAAATTCGTTTGAGTGAAGACAGTAGCATCAGGAGAGACTTGCTTCAGTTTCCGACGATGCGATTGATGGCATTCTCGTCACTTGGGTGTATCCTCGTTGAAAATCCGAATATTTGCTCCAGATACATTCCTAGAAACGTTCTGGGCAACCATTACCTTCCTGTCCAGATGTCTCTTATGGTTTCCTACTCTTTCCACCAATACCCAAAAACCTAGAGCAACATCAAGTGATTTGCACCTTGATATAACTAGAGCTGTTCGATACGTCGATAGGGGCTGCCAGCCACCCTCCCCCATTATCACGCGCATCCGCCATCTGTATCCCTTTTCCCCTTTTTCAATTAGGCATTACCAGGAACTGGCCAGCATGGGCTATGTTCTTGATGATCCAAGACGTTTGGGTAGCAAGAGTACGATGAAGAGAGAGGGGCGATCTGAACGCATTGACCGGTTGTTAGCTCTAGTTGCTCTTCAGTCATCGAAAGGCAATAGTTGAAATGCTTGTTGAGCATCGGGTGCAAGGAAAAATGGAATCTGGTAGAAATAGCTAAAATTTAATGAGAACGTAGGAATGCTCATTCTACCCATCTCACAAGTCAGAAGTTAAACAATCGACAGCTCAATCACCACGGCACTGCTCGATTTGCCATGTGCATGATTGTATTTCTCTATGCCCTATAACTGAGAGAATTTCGGGATAGTATGGGCAGTACAAAGTACGTTACGCCTGGTGTTGATAGGTTGGGGAAGTTCGGTTGCGGCTATCCTACCCATGGTGTGTGTGGGTGGGGTGGGACACGATGGCAAGTGACCTTCATAAGTCGGGTAGGTGTGAGGCAATGGTTCACCCAAACGACATGATATTCGTCTGGTTGCAGCGCTACTTAGCTCAGGAAATTTGTGTTTTGGAACTGTCTTGGTGTGTGTTCAGGATGATATGAGCACAGCAGGTGAAGGATGAAGGATCGCAAGTAAAAATAGAGTTCTGAAGCGAATTCAGAAGCCTCATCTATTGAGACAACTACAAACGCGGAGCTGGGAACCTTCAAAGACGCGCGTCAGTGGCATGATGGATAGCGTTCTGGGCTCACGTTTAGAGGTTCCAGAGTTCGGTTCCGTGAAGTCCCTCTGGCGCCTTTCTTCTGTGAATCTTTTATGCCCAAAACATCCAATCGAGTGTATGCGATTGTTGAATAACCTATTGTGTCAAGCGCATCTGTAGCATAACGGATTAGCGGCTAGGCCTTCGTTTACGATGTGGAGGGTTCGTCCCCTCTGCGTATCAGCTTTCTTGCAATCTCAGTAAGGGGATTGTTCTCGTCCACCTCTCCAAGATTCTTCTCATCCATTCCCCACGAAAATGAGTTGGGAAGAGCGATGTCCGCTGATGTGCCAGAAGCCGTCCGATGGTCTCCCCACGGCTTGGACGAAACTCAATTTCAGAGCTCCTTCTGGCAAGCAGCGAGTTTCACAGTCAGTACAAGCACACCTGCCCCTCGTCAGAACCCTTTTTCTGCATGTTCTAAATTTTGCGAAAGTACGCTTGAAGTTAGCTTGTGATTATGCAAAAAACGGCGGAGGATCCGAGCCATCGATCCTGTGAACGGAGGTCCACACCCGTATCCACTGCGCTCTCTTATCACATTTTATGGGCGTAGGAGTCGGCTTATACAGTTTGCATCACAAATGAATTTGCAATCCCGATTCACGGGTTCCCTTTGCCAGCTTTTTTCAATACGCTTATAATACTGCCGCCCTGAGTCAATTTGTAACAGTCGAAATCGGTCCAGTTCTATAACTCCAAAATTTCAAATCCGAAGCTGTAGGTGTACTGAGTAAAAATAAGTATGAGAGGCAACACATGCATTGGCTTTTGTGTCTTTGTAAGGCTCGACTTGCACTCCAGCTCCGTCTAAGCACCGTCATGCAAGAAGAGAACATTGTGAATTCGATACAGAGCGATCAGGTTCCCACAGTGGTATTCGAGACCAGCGTCAGGCAATTCCTAAATCGATTCGGTTCACTCGATTCTTTTAATGTTCACGAACCCACATCCCTCCACTGGATGGAGTGGGCTCGGCCCATGTGAGTCGGCGCCCGTTGGCTATCGGACAGCCGTCAACACCGTATACCGTACTGACTGTACTCTTTCTAAAAATCACTGCGAGAGAGTCTTAAGACAGAATAAAAGTTTTGAGTTGGGAAGGTGAGTAGACAGGCTCATGTGAACTGTAAGAAGGGTGGGGAGGGAGAAATATTGATCAGCACTGATCGGTCAATTGCGGGCCACTCCAAAGTCCAAAGTGCAATGTGGCGTCTAGAAGAAAAATTCCCTGATTATTAGGCTATTTTTCATTTTCAGTCGAACCCGACCTCAAATTATCCGAGCTTCGGCACTGCCCGGCAGTCCAAACAGGGCAAGCATCAACGCTGCTTGCTGTTTCACTCAGTGGCCCACAGCCCCATGGGTTCAGAAGCGTCCGGCAGCCTATGCAGGCCAGCTGCCGACAGCCAACTGGCTCGTCGGGCACACTCTAGCCAGCTGATTAGAGCCTCTGATCATTGAGATTCAAACACAATAGTGGCCATTCTCTGGAACCCATACTATCATCGTAAGTGCCGTAAAACGTACTGATCAACCAAGAGAAATCTCCGAGTAGGAGGGCACAGAGAAAATGCTCTGTCGGTAGGTGGCCCTGGGGATTGGCAATGAGAGGGGGTATCGAACAGCGTTGATCATCGATAGCCACTGAACAGCAGATCAACCGGCGCGCACTGGCTACTTAACAGTAGGAGTAACCTACTATTCGTGATCAGTTCCGTTCAATAATCGGCACACACTCGATCCCCCTGCTTCCCCCTGAGGCAAACTCTATTCGTCTGCCCTCTCTTGCTCAATGAGTTTCACTTGTACTAGAACAATAACAGGTACGGTAGTCATGATGAATGAACACCGTCGAGGACCTCGGCTCAACGTCCGAGTCCACACTCCATATTACTTGACTCAGACGGTGAGCCGAGGCCCCGCCCACATAAACAGTCCCTGGACAGCCTGAAACAGACCGACACAACCGTAAACTTTGTCGAGTTTAAACGTAGGCCTAGCAATTTTAATTCGAGCGTTGTCAATGAGGGCAAACCCAACAACGCCTTCTTTTGCATACCTCCAGGAATGCTCTCACTCAGTGCATATGTACAGAGGGAGTGCACATCATCTGTGCTCTCCTACTTGGAGAACCTAGGGCAGCCGGAAATGACAATCCATCTAAACCGCTGCCAAGTGAAGCC